TTATTCACCTTCCCCTGGGTCCCTCCCACAACACGTGGGAATTCTGGGAGATACAATTCAAGTTGAGATTTGGGTAGGGACACAGCCAAACCATATCCCTAATCCCGCAGAATCCCTGGGTTCTCAGGGCACTCAGTTTGGAGGCCTGGAAAGTGGACTTCCCGGAGGTGAGCCCCGCTCCTGCCCAAGGCCTTGGGTGGTCAGCATGGATGTCTTTCTCTCACAGTTTTTCTGTCACTATTCTCTGAGCGCTTCCATCTCAGTTTATTCCTGTCTGGGTTGATTTTAGGGGTTAGTGGATGTATTTCTCTTCCTGTGATGGGGAGAAAGGAGTCAGCTTCCATTCTTAGCTGTCCCAGAATTTTCTGTTTCTCTTCTTGGTCATCATTTTCTAAAGTGTATGAACTGAGGTTAGACTCCTTTCTTCTCTTTTTTTTTTTCCCCCCCTTTTTTGAGACGAGTCTCATTCTGTCACCCAGGCTGGAGTGCAGTGCACGATCTTGGCTCACTGCAACCACCGCCTCCCGAGTTGCGATTCTCCAGCCTTAGCCTCCCGAGTATCTGGGATTACAGGCACCCGCCACCACCACGCCCAGCTAATTTTTGTATTTTTACTAGAGATGGTGTTTCACCGTGTTGGTCAGGCTGGTCCCAAACTCCTAACCTCGTGATCAGCCTGCCTAAGCCTCCCAAAGTGCTAGGATTACAGGTATCAGCCACTGCACCCAGCCTCTACATTTTTTTAAAGAAATTTTCTGCTCTTAAAAATTTCCCTGGCTTTTATTTTTTCACCTTTTGTTGTTGGGAAAGTGCAGTTCTCTGGCTGGATTTTATTCTGCCATCTTGACCCAGAAACCTTGTGGTGAGCTTAAAAAAAAAAAAGAAAGAAAGAGTGAAAACAAAACAAAACAAAACATTCCTGGGCCCCACCCTGGACCTTCTGTTGCAGAGGGTCTGGAATAGGGCCAAGTATTTAATTTTTGAAACCTTCCTATGGGTCTTTGAATCAGCCAGGTCTAAAGCCACCATCTTTATAAAAGGATGTTTATTTTTTCTTTTGCCTTTTTAGTTAGACTACCTGAAAAACAAGTTGAGATTCTCTACCTGAAAACACCTCAGATTTCTCAGAAAGACCCCATAAATTGAAAGATTTTTAAAAAGTGGTTTATTTGCTTGTTCATTTTTAAAATAACATAATACAAATAGGGCAAAAAGCTTTGTCCCAAGAGAACAGCAGTGGAAAGTTGGTATTTTTTTGTAGTAGTACTTGAGAGAAATATCCTTAGAAATGAAGTTCACTTCTAGATCTCTTTAGCTTTTAGTTTTATGCTGGTATTTATAGAGTAAATTATTCATTAGTGCTTTTAAGAAGCACTTTGAATGCTATATATGCCAGCATTGTCAAAGTGATTCCCATTTATCAGAACTCAATGGTCTTTATAGAATATCACCTGCAAGGGATCGAATTTAATCCTGTATAGGATTTGACTGATGAAAGAGTACTATAAAGAGTACTGGTTTTACCAGTATCAGAAGATTCAGATTCAACTGAGGTATCCTTCAAGTAGATACACAGTTTACATGATTTTTATGGCTGCTAAGGAAGGAAGCTAAAAAGAAAATGTGGCTCTAACATTGTGAAATAATTTTTATATGAAGTATGAATTTAGAAGTGGTATTTTCTTTTTTTTTTTTTTGAGACGGAGTTTCGCTCTTGTTACCCAGGCTGGAGTGCAATGGTGCAATCTCGGCTCACCGCAACCTCCGCCTCCTGGTTTCAAGCAATTCTCCTGCCTCAGCCTCCTGAGCTGGGACTACAGGTGTGTGCCACCACGCCCAGCTAATTTTTGTATTTTTAGTAGAGACGGGTTTCACCATGTTGACCAGGATGGTCTCAATCTCTTGACCTTGTGATCCATCCGCCTTGGCCTCCCAAAGTGCTGGGATTACAGGCTTGAGCCACCGCGCCCGGCCTAGAAGTGGTATTTTCAATTTGTAAGTTACTGGCAACAGAAGAAATGATTAATATTTAAAATCACATGGTAGTCTGGGCACAGTGGCTCATGCTTATGATTCCAGCACTTTGAGAGGCTGAGATGGGAGGATTGCTTGAGGCTAGGAGTTTGTGACCAGCCTCAGCAACATGACAAGACTCTGTCTCTGTAGACAAAAAATAATAAAAATGAGCTGGGCATGGGGGTGTGCACCTGTGGTCCTAGCTACTTGGGAGGCTAAGGTGGGAGGATCCCTGGGGTCCAGGAGTTCGAGGCTGCAGTGAGCCCTGATCGTTACACTGCACTCCAGTGTATCTTAAAAAGAATTAAAATAAATAAAAATGAATTTTTAAATAAACCATGCACTAAAAGTATTTCGCATGCAGCCACTAGGCTTTTCCGATACTCTGATCTCCCATATGAGCTGTCTCAATATATTTGGAAAATAACCCATTGATTACATAGTCATCTGTTTTGCACACACTTCCCTTTCATTCTTGATCCTTGTGGTGGTGTTTTGACTACATCTGTCGTTTAAGGAGTGGTTGTGATAATAAGCCAACTCAAAGACCTGTACTTTACTTTTGACATAAAATATTTATCTTTTTTGCATTGTTTTTTCTCCAAGGGACATTCTTTAAGGAAATAATTGCTTTTTTCACATTCTTTTGGCTCTAGAATTGTGAAACACCGCTATGTATCTGCAGTATCAGCAGGGAAAACATGTTATCGTTTATATGCTGAAGTATATGCTGACACGATTGCAGTCTTCAATTAAGTACATTTTTCTTTCATCAGTCTAATTACAATTTTTAAACTATTATATACATGTGTCCGTTTTTTGAATACTTGCAACAGTTGATGTTCTACTGGATGTTATCTAGTCCCTCAGAATTTCAAAACAAGAAGGACAATAGAGGTCATGTCGTCCAACCCCTGCTGACGTACAGATTAGGAACAGGAAACGCAGATTGGCTCATTTGCTGAGGTCATGCTGTCCGGGCACATGGTCTCTTCGTTCCCAGAGCAGTGCCCTTTGTACTAAAGCCAGGGACCTCTCCCATCATCTAGTAGCATTTATTACAGATGGAACCACATGTCATTTGGTATGCAAAAGTACCATGATCGAAATTGTAAATTTGTTACTATACATTTTTCTAGGCACATTTATAGATTTGGGGGAAGTATAAGAAATAGAAGTAAAATGTGAAATAATAAAGAGGAATAGCAACAGGGAATTAACAAGGAAGTGAACACTGAGATGCTGACACATGGAGAGTTCCTGCTGTGGGTTACTGCTCAGCAGCCGTCGCTATTTCTTGGCCAGGTGCAGTTGCACTTTGAGGGGCCAAGGCGGGCAGATCACCTGAGCTCAGGAGTTCGAGACTAGCCTGGTCAATATGGTGAAACCCGTGTTTGTAGCCCAGCTACAAAAATTAGCTAGGCCTGGTGGTGCATGCCTGTAATCCCAGCTACTTGGGAGTCTAAGACAGGGAATCACTTGAACCCAGGAGGCGGAGGTTGCAGTGCGCTGAGATCATGTCACTGTACTCCATCCTGGGCAACAGCACTACTCTGTCTCAAAGAAACAAGAAAACGTGCTATGGCTGTTTATCTAACTATGGTCACCTAAAGTCAGGACCCAAGAGAAATCAATCAGTAGAACCAGTGTTAGTGAGACTTTTTTGTTTTTTGGGTTTTTTTTCCCCCCATGATTACCTCTTAGTTATTGTGTCTTTTGGAGAATATAAAGAAAAATATTTAGATTCTTAACCAGGAGATGAGATTAGGAAGGGAAACTGGATGATTTTGGCTAATCTGAATGTGTTCAATGCAAACCTGGTAGGCAGGGTAAAAGTTTTTCTAGTTAAGGGCCAGGCGCGGTGGCTCAGGCCTGTAATCCCAGCACTTTGGGAGGCCAAGGCGGGTGGATCACGAGGTCAAGAGATCGAGACCATTCTAGTCAACAAGGTGAAACCCTGTCTCTACTAAAAATACAAAAAGTTAGCTGGGCATGGTGGTACGTGCCTGTAATCCCAGCTACTCAGGAGACTGAGGCAGGAGAATTGCCTGAACCCAAGAGGCAGAGGTTGCGGTGAGCCGAGACCGCGCCATTGCACTCCAGCCTGGGTAACAAGAGCGAAACTCCGTCTCAAAAAAAAAAAAAGTTTTTCTAGTTAAATGTCTTAGCATCAACAGCCCCAAAATACTGTCTCAATTTCCTTCAAAAAGACTTATTCACAGGTCATTTTCATGTGCTCTCTGGTAGAGCAGCCACACAGCCTTAGAAACATGCCCCTGGCACTTTGATTTTTAATTTAAACATTTGGACACAGTTTTCCTTGGATTTGGAGCAGTAACGCCCCAACTCAGGATGACCATGAGAGAATGGTGGCCTGATAAGGAAAACACCTCAGTGCTACAAATGAAAGCTACTTCACGGCCAAGCGCGGTGGCTCACACCTGTGATCCCAGCACTTTGGGAGGCCGAGGCAGGCAGATCATTTGAGGTCAGGAGTTCGAGAGCAGCCTAACCAACATGGTGAAACCCCGTCTCAACTAAAAATACAAAAAAATCAGCCTGGCATGGTGGCATACACCTGTAGTTCCGGATGCTCGGGAGACTGAGGCAGGAGAATCGCTTGAATCCGGGAATCAGAGGTTGCAGTGAGCTGAGATTGCGCCACTGCACTCCTGCCTGGGCGACAGAGTAAGACTCTATCTCAAAAAAAAAGGAAGCCACTGCATATTTACACATGGTCCGTCCTCTCCAATTGAATAATTCTGTTCTTATTTACTCTGCCTTTGAGACAAAAGATGAAGCGTGCAAGTGCTTAATAACAGGAGCTTCATCACGCATGTTGAAAGATTGAAGGAAATGGATTTCAGCTGTGGACATTTTTTTTGTTTTAAAACGTGTAACAAAAGCACTAATGTCATCTTTCATTCCTGATTTCTTAATTATCTTTCTCTATAAAGCTGACATGTCTGCATTTTTTATTTTAGGAATCTTTCAAAGAAGTACCAACCTAAAAAGAACTCGAAGGAGGAAGAAGAATACAAGTATGTTTACCATTAAAAATTGTTTGATAATGCTCACATGCCATTGATGCTAACACACAGGAAGGAGAAATACATGTCTATTAAAATAAGTTGCATTTCCTATTTGTTTTGTGTCAGTTTTTAAATTGGGGAGAGAACAATAAAAACATAATTAACTTTTCCTGTATGGAGTCACTGGAGCAGTATCAGATTGTTTCAATTAAAGTAATTAGGAAAACTTTAGAATGTAATTAAGCAAAAACAGGAAGTATGGAATCTGCATTCTGGAGTCTTGATTTGGTTTGGCACTATGAGGGGTATCTGTCATGCTAGTCATTCATCCGAGAAATATGTCCATTTCAGTCAGCAATTAAGCATCTTAACACTGGACAGCTCAAGTATTGTATCTCTAATGTAGATCTAAATACCCTTTACATTAGTACATATAGCATGTATATGAATTTTGGATTATATCTGGGCTAAGTATGAACGAAGCCAAATATGACATTACACGGAGGGCTTCAGTTTTGCAAAATGAAAAGTGTTTCAATTTTAATTAATTCTGACCCATTTTGATGAGAACACTGGATGTGTAATGAATACTCAGGATCCTATGGGAGGTGGATGCCAATTAACCTCATTTTAATTAATATTTTCTTGGTGTCAAGTAGAATAAGAATGAATGTGGCCTTGTATGAAAAGCTGTGGTGTGTGTTCTGTTCCATAGGTATACATCATGTAAAGCTTTCATTTCCACCCTGAATGAAATGAATGATTATGCCGGGCAGCATGAGGTCATCTCCGAGAACATGGCGTCACAGATCATTGTGGACTTGGCACGCTACGTTCAGGAACTGAAACAGGAGAGAAAATTGGTGAGCAAAACTTTATTCTTTTTCTTCCTACAAGATGGACCAAACACAGTGGGAATATCCCTAGAACATTAAAATTAAATAAAACCATGTAAGACGGTGGGTCTTAAACTTCACACCTTTGAGAATCATATAAAAGTTATGGATCCCAGCCAGGCATGGTGGCTCACTCCTGTGATCCTAGCACTTTGGGAGACTGAGGGCGGATCACGAGGTCAGGAGTTCGAGACCAGCCTGACTAACATGGTAAAACCCTGTCTCTACTAAAAAAACAAAAATTAGCTGGGTGTGGTGGCGGGCGCCTATAACCCCAGCTACTCGGGAGGCTGAGGCAGGACAATCACTTGAACCTGGGAGGTGTAGGTTGCAATGAGTCGAGATGGCGCCATTGGACTCCAGCCTGGCTGACAAGAGCAAAACTCTGTATCCAAAAAAAAAAAAAAAAAAAATTAGTGCTTATAAGTAGGTCAAAAAAAAAATGGAAAGATGTCCCCAGTTAAATGCATTCTGTTCCTTGGCTCATTCATTGCTGTCTATTGAAGCGGATGTTACTGTTCCTCTTGCCACCATTACTGTCTTTTCATAAACAGGTCTTGTTGTTAACCAAAGAGAAGAATGTTCGTTCAAAGTATATTCTTAGTTACAATTTTGCCTTAAGCGATTTATCTTTAAGCCATGGTCTGTATCATTGTACTTCGATTACATGTGTAGTACAGAATAATTTGTTACTAATGATAAAGTAACCACGTTGGCCAGTGATAAACTTTTTTTTTTTTTTTTTTTTTTTTTTTTTTTTTTTTTTGAGACAGTCTGTCTCTGTTGCTCAGGCTGGAGTACAATGGCACGATCTTGGCTCACTGCAACCTCCACCCCTCAGGTTCAAGCGATTTTCCTGCCTCAGCCTCCAAAGTAGCTGGGATTACAGGCATGCACCAGCACACCTGGCTAATTTTTGTATTTTTAGTAGAGTTCTAGTTGGCCAGGCTGGTCTCCAACTCCTGACCTGAGGTGATCCACCTGCTCTGACCTCCCAAAGTGCTAGGATTACAGACGTGAGCCAACAAGATTGCTATGGCTTCTGCTGAAATGGAGGTGATATTAAATAATAATGACAAAGTGATTATTTAATTGCAATTATGGTAGTTGCCACATAGTAAGAGTACAACGTGCTAAGAGAACATACCGTAGGATTCCTGACATGCTTGCTCATGCTCTGGGATCAGGAAAGGGCTTCACAGTTAAGGCTACTTAACAAGACTTGAGGGAGGAGTAGGACTTGCCTGGGACAAGCATTCGATAGAGAGCAGCCAGGGCCCTGGGGCAGGAAGGCGTTTGAAAACATCTCAGTTTAGTTCTTTCTAAACTAGAAATGTGTAGCATCTGGCCTTGGATAGGTTTAAAAGTCAGGAAGAGATAAATGCCTTAAGATCAACCCATTGGTTTAAAACAACACTGTGCCGATAAACGGAGATCAATTTTCATCTGTTCACATCAGTGCAATGGCTCTCAACTAGGGACAGTTTTGCTCCCTACTCCAGCAACACCTGTCAACATCCAGAGATTGTTGGGTTGTCTCAGGGATTGCTGCTCAGGTGCTGCTACCGGTATCTAGAGAACAGAGGCCAGGGAGGCAGCTAAACATCCCGCAATGAATGCCTGGGAGAGCTCCACAGCAAAGAGTGGCCTGGCCCAAAACGTCTCTAGTGCTGAGCGTGAGAAACCCTGCACTGGAGCCCTAAATGAGCTGACAGCCTCTGCTAGAGCATTCATTAATGATTTCTTTAGTGACAGAAGGAGGCAGTGAGACAATACTAAGGTTCACAATGAAGCACAAATATCTAATATAATGATAAAATGAATACAGTCCGTCTTAACATGATCTTGGACTGCTTCTCTGGACCCTGAACTTCCCTTGACCTTGCAAAGGTTTATATTTTCTTCCTGTTTGGCTTCTTTTATCAGTGCTTTGTCTCTCTCTCTCTTTTTTTTTTCCAGAGGGAGTTTCACTGTGTTGCCCAGGCTGGAGTGCAGTGGCGCAATCTTGGCTCACTGCAGCCTCTGCTTCTCGGGTTCAAGTGATTCTCCTGCCTCAGCCTCCCAAGTAGCAGGGATTACAGGCACACGCCACCACACCCAGCTAATTTTTTATATTTTTGGTAGACACGGGGTTTCACCATGTTGGCCAGGCTGGTCTCACACTCCTGACCTCAAATCATCCACCTGTGTCGGCCTCCCAAAGTGCTGGGATTATAAGTATGAGCCATTGCGACCCCTCATATTCCTTTACTGCATTATGACCAAGTTGTTTTATATTTTATTTACTCAGTATTAATCATGACTTTTTTATAGTCAGTCATATCTGTGTTTTGGATTTAGTTCCTTTTGTTAATCAAAAATAATAGTAATTTATGGAATAAATTATAGGAGGTACAGATCCACATTAAATGTCTTGCAATACATAGTGTTCCTTTTATTTTCAGGAGAACTGTGAGTGCAGGTTTCTGAGTCAGACGTTCTGTTGGGAGGAGCTGTAAACATCATGCTCTTCTGAAACATTCTGTAATTAAATCAAAACGACATTTCAGAAAATCACGAAACCTTTTGAAATACTAGAAAGAATATGAGTAAACTAATGTGTGTTATTTGTGTTATCTTATTTTATTTATTTAATTTTTTTTGAGACGGAGTCTTACTCTGTTGCCTGGGCTGGAGTGCAGTCATGCAAACTCGGCTTACTGCAGCCTCTGCCTCCTGGGTTTCAACGATTCTCCTGCCTCAGCCTCCTGAGTAGCTGGGATTACAAGCACCCCCCCATGCCCAGCTAATTTTTGTATTTTTAATAGAGGCGGGGTTTCACCATGTTGGCCAGGCGGGTCTTGAACTCCTTAGCTCAGGTGATCTGACCACCTTGACCTTGCAAAGTGCTGGGATCACAGGTGTGAGCCACTGTACCTGGCCTGTTTGTGCTATTTTAATATAATGCCTCATGGGCATTTTTTCTTTTTCCTTTTTTCTTTCTTTCTTTTTTTTTGAGACAGAGTCTCATTCTGTTGCCCAGGCTGGAGTGCAGTGGTTCGATCATGGCTCACTTAGCCTCAACCTCCTGGACTCAAGTGATCCTCCTATTTCAGCCTCCCAAGTAGCTGGGACCACAGGCCTGTGCCACCATGCTCAGCCAATTTTAAAAAATTTTGTAGAGACAAGGTCTTGCTGTGTTGCCCAGTCTGGTCTGAAACTCCTGGATTCAGGTGATTCTCTCACTTCAGCCTCCCCAAAGTGCTTGGATTATAGGCATAAACCCCCATGCCTGGCCTATTTTTTTCTTTTCTCTGCATAATTGTTTCCGTTATTTTGAATGAGTAAATAATGAATTAGCATTACAGTATACTAATCACTGTAATTTGAAAAAAATTATTCCAGTAGTATTGGAGGCCAGGTGTGGTGACTCACACCTATAGTCCCAGCACTTTGGGAGGCCGAGTTTTTAGCCTCGTGCTTGTTATGGATTATAATGGCTAACCTCAATTGCATTTTCACAAGTTAACCCTCGTGTTATCCGTGGGGGATTCGGACTGCTAGTTTTCTAGATTTTACCCAAGATAAGGACCCTGGAGCACAGGAAGGTGAAGTGAGCTGGGCGTGTTGCTCTGTGGTGGAGCTGGGTGTCCCACCCAGGCTGCCTCCTCCTTCGTGGGGCAGTGCATGATTGCATGCATGGTTTTGTTTCCATTGAGTTTTTTTCAACGTACCTTCAAGGATGCTGGAGTAAAAATCTTGTGAACACAGACCTTATATGGCCTTTCCCCATCCTTATATGGGCAGAGGAGAGGAAGGACACAAGATGCAGTAGGATTATCTTCATCTGCAGCTAGGCTTAGAAAAAGAACTATTTGGCCAGGCGCAGGGGCTCACGCCTGTAATCCCAGCACTCAGGAGGCCGAGGTGGGCAGATCACTTGAGGTCAGAAGTTCAAGACCAGTCTGGCAACATGATGAAACCCTTCTCTACTAAAAACATGAAAAATAGAAGTGCTTTGGGAACCACGGCTTAGGCGCAGACATGGCCAAGTCCAAGAACCACACCACACACAACCAGTCCCGAAAATGACACAGAAATGGTATCAAGAAACCCCGATCACAAAGATACGAATCTCTTAAGGGGGTGGACCCCAAGTTCCTGAGGAACACGTGCTTTGCCAAGAAGCACAACAAGACGGGCCTAAAGAAGATGCAGGCCAGCAAGGCCAAGGCCAGGTGTGCACGTGCCGAGGCCACCAAGGCCCTCATAAAGCCCAAGGAGGTTAAGCCCAAGATCCCAAAGGGGGGTGTCAGCCGAAAGCTTGATTGACTTGCCTACATTGCCTACCCCAAGCTTGGGAAGCGTGCTCATGCTCGCATTGCCAAGGGGCTCAGGCTCTGCCGGCCAAAGGTCAAGGCCAAGGCCAAGGATCAAAACAAGGCCCAGGCTGCAGCTCCAGCTTCAGTTCCAGCTCCAGTTCCAGCTCAGTCTCCCAAAGGTGCCCAGGCCCCTACAAAGGCTTCAGAGTAGATATCTCTGTCTGCCAACGTGAGGACAGAAGGACTGGTGTGACCCCCCTGGGCTGCCATCTGCATGGGGCTGGGTCCTCCTGTGCTATTTGTACAAATAAACCTGAGAGAGGATTTGTTAAAAAAAAAAAAAATATATATATATATACATATATATATGTATATATATATGAAAAATATAAAAATATATTTTAAAAAATTAGCTGGGTATGATGGTGCATGCCTGTAATCCCAGCTACTCAGGAGGCTGAGGTATGAGAATCCCTTGAACATGGGAGGTGGAGTTTGCAGTGAGCTGACATGGCACCACTGCACTCCAGCCTGGGCGACAGAGTGAGACCTTGTCTCAAAAAAAAAAGAAGGAAAAGAAAAGGAACTATTTAAGACCTTCTCGTAATAACCAACGTTTCTCCTTTAGACCTTTTACTTTTGGCTCCCCTGTCTTTACTTAGTAAA